TATTTTTAAAGTTTGCACACTAATCCGCCAACATCGGGTCACCTAGAACAACATGTGTTCAAACCATCATAACCCGAAATATACATCACTAAATACCAAACCCTTTCACAGAGAGCTAGATAAGACACAAACCAATAATTTTTATTCTTAAAACTTATTCTAGATCTGACCTTAAAGTCTCGAAATCAAAAGTGTAAAACAGTAGCTGGAGATGAACTTACCTAGATTTCCAACTTGATCATCCGAATTTGACAAAGAAATGGGTTTTTCCTCTCTTTCTCTATCTCAAAATGGGAAACCAAATGGGATAAGATGAGATAATGGTCAGGTATGTAATCTTGATAAGATTGTGAAGATATTTTGGCAAAGTTCATTTCGGTCCCTCAAGTTTTGGCTTGTTTTTATTCTAGTCCCCCAACTTAGATTACATTCAATTGAGCTCCTATTTATTCATATTATTTAAAATACTTATTATCCAATACCCCACTAACATGTCATATGCAGGTATAATTATATGCGTGTAATTCATAAGTATGCGTGTATGCATGAACAATGTATGTTTTTTAGACGGGGTTATTACATTGGGTGTATTAATGAAATAGAAGAAATCTCTTATGCATTGGGCTCTTATCTTCCTATTGCCCTTATTCCCTTGGATCACTTTTTGTTTTCCCTTTTCTCTTGATGTAGACATAGTTTTTTCTTGGGTGAGAGAAAGGAATGAGGAAGATGATGGTTCTTTTGTAGGCAAGAGTAATAGGGAGGATAAGTGTGTCTAGTGAGGTAGAGGATTGGAGAAGATGGTGTTCTTTGGTTTATGTGGTTGGGTATTTGATCTAAATATGGTTGAGAAAATTGAAAAGGATGAAAAGGAACGAGGTTGGTATGATTGAAGAGGAAATTTGAGGAAAATGAAATGGCATGGTTAAGGTTTTAGTGGTATTTATATGTGTGGGAACAAAGGAAGGAAACCGTGTCCTTATGTAGGAAAGGAAGTCACACACCCATGCTCAACTTGGTGAGCAAATCGTGTCTCTTTCCTTATGTTCATGCCATCTATCTTTCTTTGCTCATAATATACACGACCAAATGGATTTTCTCCTACAAACCGTGTGAATCCCCATTACTCGTGTCTCCGTACTATCTTGTGAGTTGAAGTGGCAAGCAAAAGACACACGAGCGTGTCCGAAATTGATGCACAACCCGTGTCATATGCTTCTACTCGTGCCTTTTTTTCTTTCTTGGAAGTGCAACACAGCTTGGGGGCCACACGGGTGTGCCTTTTGTGAAGGTCAATTCGTGTCTCCTACTACTCCCCGTACTTCCTCTCTCTCTTTTTTAAACCTTTAACCATAATTCGGACAAACGAGCATGCCTTTTAACATGCACAAACCATGTCTAATGCTATTGCTCGTATGACTTCTCTTCTTCTTCTTCTTCTTCTTATTTCAAAACCAAAGAACACCTATTCCGCAAACATTATCCAAAAACGTCCAAATAAAAAAACTTGATCACTAAACTTATTCATCTCGATTTTACTCCATCTCGACGTACTATAAAATGCTTAGCAAGTTATTGGTTATAAAAAGGTTATGTCACCCGTTATATATTGGTCGATCTTCTCCCTAGATAGAATAAGCAATTTTATTATTTTATTATAAATTTCTCTATTGGCCAATCATTTTTTCCGCAAATGGCAATCATAATTGAATCTTATGTCTTTTATTTTTCTAAATTTACTCTTAATAAGACTTTATATATATTTGACTAAATGACATCATATTATATTTGTCTAGATAGTTAAAGAGATTTAGAATTTTTTTAAAAAATAATTTTTAACTAATATAGAGTATTAAAAAATTACATTTGATAAGTGAAAAAACACCACGAGCATGATATGAAAAATATTTATTAGAAATTGTTGGACTGATTTGCAATCTTAATACAATAAATTTCTTGAAAAAACTATTTTTTTAGTGCCCAACCTTTATTTTTTTTATTTTTTTCCATTCTAATGCCTAACTTTTGAATTTTGTTTTCCTATATTTAAGTGCCCCCAACAACATTAGAGTATGATGTGCTTACGTGTTTAGAGTTGACGACCACAAGGCATTTTTTGACCGCCACGTGCCAACTCTCACTCGGACAAGTCGATTAAATTGATTTTCAAGTGAAGTCGAACAATAAAACAAATAAAAAATTAAAACTTGCATATCAAATCATTAGAAATAAACAGTTGGGCATTAAAAAAAAAAACGATTAGGTACCAAAAAAATCACGAAAAAAAGAGAGTAAAAAGAATGAATAGCGAAAAGGGAAATATTTTAGTCTGCACTTGTTTCTTTATTCAACCAAAATGGTGCAAAACGCACTGTTTGACCCTTTTTTTTTTGGTACTTTCTTTTCTCTCTTCTATAACATGATATTTGGTTTTTCTATTTTTCTCAATTGTACCCCCAATTGATGGTTCGTCAGTATTCTTTGATCCTCCATCTTTTCTAACTGTCTCGATTTTTTTTCCATACATTTGCCCTCTCTCGTTTTTCTTTTTTCCCTTTTTGGATTTTTTTTTCTTTTTTTGGTTTTTCCTTCTATTTTATTTTTTCCATTGTTTTGGCTTTCTTTTTTTAATGATTTCCTTTGGTATTTTCTCTAACTCTTTTTTTTCTTCTTTTTCTCTCATTTTTTCCATTCGCATTGTTTACTTGCTTCTAAATATGTTGTGATCAAAATTTTGAAAATTAAAAAAAAAAAATTAAAAACCATGCAAAAATTAGGGAAAGATGCAACATGCAATCTTTTGAAATTTTTGCATCAATTATTTTTTAAAAATTTTTTTGAGAAATTTGTCGAAGGTCAAAAAATTGGTTATGGCGATATTCATTAGCATTATTGTGGTTTTTGGCCTTTATTTAGGAATTCGGTATGGCCTTTTTTGTAATTTTTGGCCTTTTGTTTTAGGTATTTGATATACAAATTTTGATAAATATTGTGCTTTAGTCCCTAATGTTTTCAAAATATATATATATTTTTTATTTATTCCCAGCTTTATTTATGTTGCAATTTGTTCTCTAAATATAGAGAAACAAAGAAAGAGAAAATCATAGTGAGACCCATTCTAGCTACTTTATTCATCGATTTTGGCTTTGATTTGATCATATTGTAAACGAGAGTTTGTTTATGATGGTTTTAAGATAAAATATTTGGAGGAAGAGATTGAGATCTCAAAACATTTTTTATTTTTTAAATTTAATTTAGATTTTTTCAATTTTTAGGTTCAGTATAATAATTTTTTAGGGAGATATCCGGCGATCATAATTTCGTTGGAAGTTGCAGTTGACCGCCATGTTCTCTTGCACATTGCGCATGAGATGCATTGTACACTATTTCACTTTTTTTTTTTTTCATAGGGCTTGCTCGCTTGTGTCTAGCTCATCGAGGCGTGGGCGTGGTTCTCTAAACCCAAAGGTGTAGGGTTGACATGTAGGCCCAACTTTTTTTTTTTAGTATTTTTTTTTTGAATTATTGGTTTATTATTATTTAATTTTATGCTTAAATTTTGGAAAGCTCATAATTATTTTGTTGAGTTTTCTGCAAGTTAATAAGAAAAAAATATCAAATAGATTTTGAAATCAGTTTCTTTCAAATAAAAAATAATATTAAAAAACAAACACAATATTCCCTCAAATAAAAATATATTTATATGTTAAAAAAAAAATCAACCATAATACTATACTTTTTAAGAGTAAATTATAAATTAGTCCTTCTCCCTTCAAGAAACAAATTAATTAGTACATATGATTTCAAAAAACTAATTATTTAGTTTTTTTTTCAATTTATTTTAATACTTTATTTTAAGAAATAAAAAAAAATAAAAAAATAAGTACAAATATGAAAAGATTTATGAAAAAAAACATCTCATAGAATAAAAAAAATATTAAATTAATCATGAACAACACTAATTAAAAAAATTAAATAATTAATCTTTAAAGACAAAAAAAAAAAACTAATTAATTTATTTCCCAAAATGAAAGGGACTAATTTATAATTTACTCAAGTTTTCAAATAGTTTTTTTTTTTTTTTGGGTGCAAATAATATTGAATAAAGGTATAATATTTCTGCAATTTTTATACATTAATTGCTATTTTATTTTTTTCGATGCAATAAAAAATAATACATTTGTACTTTTTTTTAATTTTTTTTTTGGATTTGCCATTCATTGAATCTTGCTCTTTAAATTATTATAGACTGCTTAAAAATTCATACATAAAAAATAAATTTTAAAAAAGCAGTTTTTTTTTTAAAAAAATAAACTATTAAAAAAAAATAAGTGCTTGAATAAATAATCATAAAGTTAGACAAGAACTACAACACTAAAATTATTTCTTCAAATAATTTCATTTTCTGTCAACGTAACATTAGCAACAAGCTACTCTCAAACTAAAACATCCAGCATGCGAGGGGCCGCTCAGAAAGCGAATGGCACATAAGAAACCTGCATTACGAAAAACATTGCATGAAATTGGTCTCATTGAGTTGAACATAAAAATTGCTAATCGAACCTCTTAGATTGCAAAGTCAGCGCTCAGTCCTCTGCAAAAACCATTGGCCATGGCAAGGGATTCATGTCATGAGATGAGATGCAAAAATTACTGAGCAGATAAATACTTATGGGAGGGAGAAAAAAACCAACATACAAAAACCTAGCCCAAAAGCCAATATGATGCGATTATATTCTCCCAAACAAAAATACCAGACCATAGTGGCTAGAAAACCATCTAGTGAGTAAGCATACACAATTTTCAACAATGCTTATAGGGCAGATAATCATAAGCACAATACATTGTCCCATATGCAGTGGCCTCCAGTCCACTGACACGCTCCAAGCAAACACCAGTGCAGCAACCAGCTACTTTGTTGGCATCCTGCTACTTCTGCAGTCCTCGCTTTAGAGACATGGATGGACCGTACTCCATGCAAATACCAGCATAGCAACCTCCTACTGCGTCCGCATCCTGCTGCTTTCTGCAGCCCTCACTTGAGAGAAATACGGGTGGGCCTTCATCAAAAATACCAAGGAACAATTAGATAGCATGTTAGCATATCCAAAAATGGCAAGGTTTTGTTATCACTCAAACATCAACAAAACAAGGCTACTGGCAAGTTCGGGCTGGCCAGTCCAAAAGCTCACACACAGATTGCAAAAACTACAATGCCAACCACAGAATTGCAACCAGTTGGGTCAATACTCAAATTTTAGCCATGGCTGTAAGACTAACAAACTAGGTTTAAGAGGCAAAAAGAATGGATACTAAACCTATAGCCAGTTTAATCTATCACTCTCTCTCACACCCACACACAAAGCAACCCTGCAGGGAGTGCAGCTGGCAAACCAATAGCAAGTTTGAACTTCTCTCAAGCAAATTATTGAAATAGTAATGTGCATCCAATATGGAGACAGAAAAACGGCTTCACAGATCACAAAACTATATACTACTATTTTCTGCTTGGATGCTGGATGGGCATGCCATTTCCAACAAGCATTTCCCATTGCAGGTAATTCAACATGCTTGAGGAAAGACTGGACAGGAGAAGTCTGTGCCCATCAATTGAACCACACACACAAACATAATCTAGCTGACAGACCAAAAATGGAATTACCATTGCTTCTCTAGCAGTAAGCCTGTCTTGATGATCATACCGAAGAAGCTTATCAAGAAAATCAAGGGCCTGCACATCCGCACCTCAAAAGAATGAACAATAGTTTGAGACTACTGATGGATGATAGGTGGAGTAAACTTGACTAATTGGGCAAGATGACAAACCTCTGGAGACACAAGGTGCTGATTATCTGTATTAATAAACTTGGACCAGGGTTTCCTACTGTGCCTGCAGTAGTATAACATGACATTAATTCATGTTGGATATAAATAGTGTTGTTCTCTTGGTTTATTGAGGCTACATTATAGAGAAATCAAACATTTTGCTTACTAATGGCAAACTAATTTGTAAAATGGAGAAGAAAATCATGATCAACAAACCTCCCAACAAGCGCATCAAGTTGAGGATCAAGCTCTAAATGATATTTGTTCAGATATGCATTTAGCTCATCAGTTCCAAGAACCTGAGAATCAGCTTAAAATCAGACAACAGGTATGTGGTAAGGGTTTAGGGGGCAAAAAAAAAATCCATTTTGTCATATCTTCATTGCTTAAATAACATGCATAAAGCATTACAGATTGGCTTACCAAACAACTGAATCAACATTACCTTTGCGATTTTGACAAGCTGATCATGGTTGTCATGGCCATAAAAGAATGGCTCCTTCCTAAATATCTGCATCAATAATAGGTACAATAAGCAAATCACACGATGATGAAGGATCAGCAAATCACACATGATAGCTCTTATAAGAAAGCAGGAGTCACATGAAGGCTCTGCATGCATAATTCTCACCATTCCGGCAAACATGCAACCAAGGCTCCACATGTCTAAAGAATAGTCATAGTCTTGTAAATCAACAAGAAGTTCAGGCCCCTTAAAATATCTGAGAAACAAGGAAAATACTTTAATCTTCCATTCAAAGTTGAAGCCATAACTATGTCACCATTAAGAACTATATTGATAAAAGGTAACGGTCAAAGGGTACTGCACCTCCTAGGATATCCAAGGAATTGAAATCAAATCTAAAAAGAAAAAACAAAAAAGAAAAAAGGAATATTTTGATGGTTGACTCACACAATCTGCAGCAGGGATCATGGAAAAATGCATTATCAGAATTTCTCCCAGCTTGAGTTGGAAAGAAATTTAGACAAATTAATCACCAAAAATGCATCATTATGAACCACTTGCTTTCAGATATTCAACTAATTCAAGGTATAGCTTAGACAGAATATTACATGGAAGCCCATTGAGTGGAATAAGCCTTTATTTAGAGTCCATATGATCTAAGTTTGAATCATGTAAACAAAATGTAAAGTTGCCCTACTAGAATGCTTTTAATCTTTTAGCAGATCAATAAAGGCCAAGAGAGGTTCACTATAATTTATCCCAAATTCAAGGGCTACAAGTAAATAATAAAAACAAAAAGGTCAACAAGCAGAATGTCATTAAGATAATCCATCATGCATTCAACCATTACCTCGAGGCCACTCGGACATTATACTCCTTGCCAGGATGGTAAAATTCAGCAAGACCCCAGTCTATCAAGCGGAGTTTTCGCAACTCATGGTCTATCATGACATTGTGAGGCTTGACATCTCGATGCATTATTCCTTGTGAGTGGCAGTAATCTAATGCCTGCATTGTGAAGATATCTTTATTTGATAAGAAACCATAATGTCATCGCGTTACTACATTTTCTTCATGAGGAAAATGCTACCTTTTTATCAAATCAGGGAGTAGGTCTACATACACAAGAAGTATATAGACTCAAATTTAAGACGATGACCTACAAGAAGTGACACTAGCATGCCACAGGAGAGGTCAATACATGAGACCACATCAATGTAACAATTTGCATAAAAGCAAACGCATTGTCTACTATCCAAAGAGTTCTAACATAATTTTACGCATAGCACATTCTTCTCCAAAAACCAGAAATTTCTGACCCATCAACATAGGCTTAAAGAGGGAGGGAAGAGAGAGTTAGTTTCCAAGCTTAGATTACCTTGAGAAGCTCATATATGTAGTAGCGTATGTCATAGTCAGTCAAAGTGGGGTACAAAACTTTGAAGTCTGTACTGTTCACATATTCAAATATGAGGCTCGGAGTTTTTGAGTGCTGATCTCTAACAATGTCTAGAAGCTTCACAACATTTGGGCCACCACAAAGGTTCTGAAGTATTTTTATTTCCCTCTTAATCTGCGAAGGATAACAGAACGATCATTCTTATGCCCCAAAGAAATTTCTAGCTAGATTTACAGAAAAGCAGTTATTTTAAGTGACAGAACATAAAACCACTGATATGTCAAATATAGAGATACTAACAATCACCTTCTTTTTCTTCACAGGTTTGAGGATCTTGATAATACAGCGTTCATTGCTATTGACATTTATGCCTTCGAAAACTTCACTATACTTTCCCCTTCCAACTTTCCGAACAACCTCATAATCATCTTGATCTCTGGAAAGATCTCAAGAAGTTAAAACATAAAAGAAAAGAAAAGAAAACACACCATAAATATCACAAGAAAATTGGAATAAGAAAAAGAGGAATGAACAGATCTGCCAGCATTACATAACACAATGCTCAATATAATAAATCTGGTATTTTACTCAAAGACACTGAAACATCAAGAGTTATCGGCAAAAGTTGGTTAGAGAAGGGAAAAACTGATGGGAATCCAGCAATTTAATATAAAGATTCATCATCAAAATCCAACTCTCTCAAGTGTTTTACCTTTAAAAATTGCTACAATTTTGCATTCTTTACAGTCCCCTTTCATTTACAGATTTAAATTTCGCATCAACAAATGAAACTTAGTATCAACAACTGTCATTTAATTAAGCCAGTCCTTTGCAATTAAAAACATGCTGTTTAGGCTCTCAGAGATCCTTCAAACCAAAGAGAAATAACCATTTTTACTGATTATAAAACAAACCAATTTCACAAAAAAAAAAATACTTTCGATAGCTGAATAGGTTTTTACATCTTAAAAATATACGCGTTTGTCATTTACCAAAGAGAAAATCTCCCTCATTTACATCATATATCAAATTCTTCAACAACAATTTTACGACCACGAAACAAAAACAGAACGAAAACGTTGCTTTCAGCACTTAGGCTACTAAAGCATTTTAAAGGATTATTCAAGCCAAAGAAATGGGTCTAATCCATAAAGACAACCACGCAACTTTGGATATCATTCTAGTCTGTTAGCAATATTCCTAATACATCATATATATCTTAGATTCCTCAATCTCTCAACACTAATAGATCCACCAAAAAACGAAAAAAAAGACACATAATCTTGTACAATTTATTGCAACCAATTGAACCAAATAATAATAATTAATTAACTAATTTCTATGCACAAAAAAAAAAAAAAAATCTTGCTTAGCTCAGTACAGCTTCAATAAACTCTCTTCAAGTCCCAAACACTGAGAATATGTTAATTTCTCAAGCCAAACAGTCCCCAATCACATAAAAAAGATCTCAACAGATTAGTAAAAAACACTCAAAAGAGAGATTCAGCAACAGATTAGGGTTTGATTAAAACTTAATTACCCCCATTGAACAGTGAGAGACTCGTAATCCCAATACTCTTTAGGACGCAGAACATTAACATCGGTATAAACTCGCGCTTTCGACATCGATCGCCGCCGATTCGAGATCTCGATTATCTTATTGGTATCGGTTTCTTCGGTGTTGGAGGGAGTGGTGATGCGCAGGTTAGGGTCGTGCGCAACAGGCGCACGCAAAGCAATAAAGGCGCACAGTAGCAGGCAGCAAGGGAGAAGAGGTGCTACTGCTGGGTTTTGCTCGTCTTTTTTCATGCGCTAGGTGGTGTTAGACTGTATGCACCATCACCTCATTAATGCGCTAAAATATAAAAATGATAAAAATAAAAGCCCAACTTTCAAATTAATATCCTAATTGTATAGTGAATTCAATTAAACTTTCAAAGTGATTTTTTTTTTCAATTAGATTCTTCGAGGTTCAAATGTTTTAAATTAAGTTTTTTTTTATATATATAATCATTGTACTCAATTTATTTCTAAAATTAATTATTAATTCATATAATTTACTTGATCTTGACATGAGGCTAAGATAGTGTTTAATAAAATTAAAAATTAAGTGCTCAATTTGTTAAATATTGAATTTTAAGTACTGAATATATTACTTACAAATTGTTTTCTATTTATTAAAAATTAAATTCTGAACATAATAAGGTTATTTGATAAGTACGGTTACTCAACATATTAAGACTATATACATAATAATTTTAACCTTGTAATTGTAGCATGATATTTTTAACACAAATAAAAATATATACGTAGATGTGTTTGTGTATATAAATAAATAAAAATATTATTATTAAAATAAATAAATAAAAGGGTGGGTTTTACCATTTGGTGGTGGGTTCTATCTAAGGAATCGATTTGCAAACGAGGTTTTATAGATGGATGGCCATAAGAAAAAGGTTCGTCGGTCTATGAGAACACTAGCACACCAATCTCAGCACCACATAGAGTCACCAACTCACTTGTCTTTTTATAGATCCCAAATCTACATTTTGAGAATGTGATTAACTCTGTCATCTTCGTTTTCTATCCTTTTTATTGTGATTCTTTTGCCTACCTTTGGTTTGCTTACCTACCATTAAGAACAAAAAAAGCTTTTAGACTATACACCAAAAAAGGAAGAGATATGATAATGGAGAAGGTCTCCTCTATTTCAACGAATGGGGATAGTAAAAATTATTTTCTAATCAGCTTGTACAGCTATGGTTATAAAAATATATGAGAACTATATAGTCATATTTAAAAAATTTAACAATCTTTCAATTGAGCGTGTTAATAAAAAAAAAATTAACTTATCTAATCAAGTAGATTTTGACTAATTTAAAATTTTAAATATGAGATTATTTAGATTATCAAATAAACTTTTTATATTAAGCACCACAATTTAATTTTTTAAGCTACTTAAATAGGTTATCAAACATACCCTAAATTACATATCAAACTAATAAGAAATAGGTTTGGTCCTAATACAAGGTTTTAATTATAAAATAATGGACATGAGTAGTGTTAATATCTTACTTTTAGAATGCATAAAAAAAAAAATTGATTATGTAGACTCGCAACGGGATCTACAAAATAAAGATCCGATTGTTATTATTATTATAATAATAATTATTATTATTTTACTTTTGTGAGCAAGTTAAAGCAATTGAACAAAAAATAATCTAGTTTCTTTGTTTAGCTCAAATCTCATCTTTCAAACATGAATGACATAGCACAATCTTAGATATTAAGGGTCATCTTTAATTCTTTATGAATACTAACCTAACAACAATTTTGATAAAACTTTTGGCATCTTATTAGTAGTGTTGGTGTCCAAGATCCAACCATGTTTGGATGGGCTTATGTTAATATGTTATTGCATCATTTATTTTAATAATAATAAAGAAGTCATTCTATTAATTCTTATGTTTCATGTTGATAAATTCGAGTAGAATTAGATATAAGTCTTTATGATATACATTTGCAATAGTGATTGATCGAAAGATGTGAAGCAAACACTAATGTATATAAATGATATTATTAAATATCCCAAGTCGTAGCATCGTCAAGAATGGACATTAACAATATACGAGATAGACTTGTGAGTGCTATGCTCATGCTATATGATAGCAGTAGGAGATCTCACACCTATTGGCATGACGATGCAAAAACAAGCACTTAGGTGATTTATGTTAAAGAACATGTCACCTGGATTTAACTTGCCGTGAGAACCCATTTGGTTTAAGTCTATGAGAATCTCATACGATATGGGTACAAATGGTCCTTAGAATTGAAATCATCATGGTTATCTCATTAGAGGACTTATGCACTTTGACACTCATTTCGACGGGCCCATTAATGTGTTGTACGTGGGCGATTCGTTGGGTGCACTAGGAATCCAATAGACATAGGTGTATAGCTAAGATAGGACATGTCATTCCTTGTATGCTAAAGGAGTTGTTACATTGCACTTCGATAAATGTCCGTTCAAGAAATCTATGGCCATATTAGGAGTACACCAATAAAGCATAGTTGGTTTACTCTAAGAGCTAAGACATTTGGGAATCGAAAAAAATTTATGTGATCATAATCAAACAAAACTAATAACCAAGTTTGAGATCACACTCGTGATAAGTTGATATGAGGACTGAATTGTATGGTAACCATGCTTGTGAAAGGTAATAATGGATTAATTAATCCTCTTAGAGAATTGAGTAGTCATGATGTCTTACTAGAGGCCAATCTTGATTTATGTATCAAAAGATAAAAAAAGAGTCTTTTATTCTTGATACATTGCTAATATATTTAGGAGTCTATTAAGTCGCATGCATAAGTTCAAGTATTCTCATTACAAATGAGAAGCAAAGATATTGGAAAAAGTTTTCAATTATGAAAGTTTTCTATTTTGGAAAGAGTTTCTAAAATGGAAATTTTCCTAAAATGGAAAAGTTTCCTAAAATGAAAAATGAAAAGTTTCCAAAATGGAAAGTTTCCTATTTTAGAAATCAGTTTCCTAATTTGGAAATTAGTTTCAAATTTAGAAATGAAGAACCTAAAAGGAAAGGATTTTCTTAATTTAGGTTAAAAGGTATTCGGAAAATTGTTTCCCAATGTGGACTCCATCAAAATAATATAAGAATATTTATTTGGATAGTCCAAATAAATTAATTCGGCTAAAATAGTTTTGGCCTATTAGGTTTAATTAAAAGCGTTAAGATAATTTTGATGAAAGGATAAACATCAACCTTATTGGATAAGGATGAATGTTTTAAAGATAAACATCAAGTAGTTCATATATAAAATAACTCCTTATCCTTAGAGAATAAGGAAGCAACAACTTAGAGTCCTTTATGGACTTAAGGTCGCCACTTTCATTGTCCTTGGAGGAGAAGAAAACTCTTCCTCTATAAATGGGAAGAGAAGGGCGATAGAGAGTGGGAGATAACAAAAATAGAGAATTTCGACCAAGGAAAAAAAAACCTAATAGAAAATTTGACTAGCCTCCAAACTAAAAGGGGCATACCGCCAAAAGGGAAAAAAGTGAGAAAATAGTTTTTTTTCAAAAACCCTAGTAAGAAATACTCTTACCTTCTCTTTTAAAGTTATCATAAAATTGCCCGGGATTGATTTCTAGTGGAAAAACTTAATAAAAAAACATGAAGCTAGCACCCCATCAATTTTGAGTGCTTCTTTGTGGATATTTGAGTCGGTCGGATCATCAATAGAGGTTGGACACTTGGACGACTAATCAAAGAAAAAGGAATTTAGATTTACGCTACAAAAGGTAATACTTTACTTTTATCATATTATTCATGTATGTATGATTAGTTGATTCAATGGCATGATCTTGGGCCCTTAGATGGAGGAAAATTTTTATTCATTCCGCACCTTCATAGGATGTATGATCCTTCACTTTTATAAACTTTTCCACTTTTGATCTTCTCGATAACATTTTCTATTCGAACTCTCTTTCTAAAAACTCTCTCACTCACTTAACCTCACTACTCTTAAATTTTAATCTGTTTGGACTTTGACCACTCATCTATCTACCACTCTAATTTGTTTCTTACTAACATTGTCTACTTTTCCTTACATGTCCTCATTACTTACATTTATTATTTTAAATCAGTGGACATTGTTTCTATAATTCATAGCACTAACGTTCTACATCTCAACTAATCTACCAACCAGTCATTTGATAAGTTCTCACGAGACTCTCATACATTTTAACAACTTCACTAGAAAGTTAGTGATTATAAAAAAATAATGGGCCTTTTCAAGACCTTCAAGAAGAATGTTAATGTTATGACCAGTATGTTTATGCACAATGATGATGGGACCCTACTAGATCCCAACAATAATATGGGCAACACTAACCTCTTAGATCACGAGAATTATGTTCTCTTATCGATGTTAGTTAATGAGTGGAATAAATTAACCAAAATTTTCCACTTTATGTGAAGAGAAATGTGAATGATTGTCTCATTCACATGACCTTCATTGATAATGGTTCATCATTGGATCTTATGTCAATTACCCTCTTTTAAGGATTTATGTGTCGATGAGATATATGTGAACTCAACACCAACTATTCTTAAGGTCTTTAAAAACATTTCCTTTAGATAAGTATGGTTTGATTCTCTCATCTAAGTACTAAAGTGTGAAAGAGTATTGGAAGGGATGAACATTTTCATTCTTAGCATTAAAATACATTTTAAACATTAGAACTCTTATTTTGTTAAGATGTGTATATATATATATATATATATTATGAATATGTGGTCAATAGAAAGCTTAGGGTTGGCGACCCCAATGACATATGTGTTAAGCTAGTAGCCATCAAGACTAGCTGCAATATTAAAGGCACATGCATAAGTGGTAAGAGAAGAAAGGATAATAGATATGATAATAGTTGTACCAAGTAACTAAATCTATAAATCGATATTATCATTATGCCCTTCGATTTTCAATATATCAATACATACCATGTGTAATGAACTTATTATCAACTTTTATAATCCTTTATTATTATTATTATTATTATTCTAATAAAATGAACAAGTGCAATGAAAACTTTGTTTTATGTTATGTTTGTATCTTCTTATGACTTAAAAAAGAAAAATCTAAGTACTTGACACCTCAAAGAATAATTACAAAGGCACACAGGTGCCATATTTCTAAAATTTGCGAAAAAGAGACATGGCTTCCACAAAAAAAAAAAAACAAACAAACAAACAAATGAACAAAAAAGCCATTAATCCCTTACCAAG